AAAATTAAATGCATTTAAATATTATTATCGTTGGTTATATGACACACTGCTTGTGTATAACTAAACAGTCAATCAACGGGAACTTTTACACACATAGTAATGCATATCCACCAATTAGTTTAAATATAAAGAGAAGCATGATAACAGCATGGTATTGTCCACTTTACTCCTCTACGAAAGACCGGGTATTTCCGTACAAAGGAATATATTTAGAAAAGAAATTAGATTAATGACATTCTAACTGCCCCCAAATGCCCTGGTATGGCCGATTGTGAGGTGGGCCCGCCCTCCCTCTCGAAATGCTCTCACACAGCCACGCATATACAGTCTCTGCCAGGGAAGTCCTACTCACTGCCTTCTCATGGCGGGGGCGTTGTCTACGAAATTGAGAGGACGAAAAGCGAATGTCCGGCGCTTTAACCGGGTTCAAAACCAATGGTGCACATGGGCTCCAGTATCCTGAAGGAACAAATGGCGTATGAACCGATCGTTGGTCACCGGCTACCATGGGACTGCATCTCCTCACGATGCTCCACTGCCTCGTGGGTCAGACTTTTAGATCAAAGGCTAGGGGTGTGGCCCTCTAAGAAAACCACCTGTTTCGGTTGGAGCACCCGGGCAGTATCACAGCCCTCACAAAAATCGAATGATTTATGTGGCGCATGTCTATTTGGTGCCTTATTGTACTAATATCTATGTGTTAAAATAAATAAATAAATAAAACACATCAACTGGATAGATCTATTAAAATGAAGTCTAATGCCAGTGAATAACATGTTACGTCAACCAACCCTACAATTATGCAGCAAATCAAAGATAAGTTATGAATGATGGGTACAACAGCTTGTGAATGACACTCTGATTGTTCCTGTGTATCTAGCCTCATAATTCATACCCGAAATAGGCTCATCCCATACGCAATTCGATTGACATTATCAGCATATACAATAGACGTTTGCCCACTGCTCCGTTCATATACGTCTTTACCAATCCCCTTCAATGACACATTCTTAGCTGCACATTCCTTAATTTACATAACATTCTTATTATTACCATGATTACTATCAATAATATAATCAAAATATCTAGGACATGATATTTATTTTATTTCATATTACTTACTTACTTACGCCTGTTACTCCTCGTGAAGGAGCATAGGCCGCTCACCAGCATTCTCCATCCAACCCTGTCCTGGGCAATCCTTTCTAGCTCCGTCCAGTTGTAATTCATCCTTTTCATATCTGCTTCTATTATCCGACGCAATGTGTTCTTTGGCCTTCCTCTTTTCAGCTTCCCTTCAGGATTCCAAGTTAGGAGTTGCCTCGTGATGCAGTTTGACGATTTGCGTAATGTATGTCCTATCCCTTTCCATCGTCTTTTCCTAATCTCTTCTTCAGCTGGAAGTTGGTTTGTTCTCTCCCACAGAAGGCTGTTGCTGATGGTATCCGGCCAATGGATGTTGAGTATCTTGCGAAGACAGCTATTTATAAATACTTGTACTTTCTTGATTGTGGTTGTTGTAGTTCTCCAAGTTTCAGCTCCATACAGTAGAACTGCCTTGACGTTCGTATTGAAGATTCTCACTTTGATATTGGTTGAAAGTTGTTTTGAGTTCCATATGTTCTTCAATTGTAGGAATGCGACCCTTGCTTTGCCGATCTTCGCCTTTACGTCTGCATCGGATCCTCCTTGTTCATCGATGATGCTTCCTAGGTATGTGAAGGACTCTACATCTTCCAGAGTTTCGCCATCAAGTGTGATTGGATTGCTGTTCTCCGCTTTGAATTTGAGGACCTTAGTTTTCCCTTTGTGTATGCTGAGGCCTACTGATGCAGAGACTGCTGCTACACTGGCTGTCTTCATCTGCATCTGTTCGTGTGTACGTGATAGGAGGGCTAGGTCATCTGCGAAGTCCAAATCGTCTAATTGATTCTGAGCTGTCCATTGTATTCCGTGTTTTCCTTCAGATGTTGAGGTCTTCATAATCCAGTCGACCACCAGAAGAAAGAGGAATGGAGAGAGTAAACAGCCTTGTCTGACTCCGGTCCTTACTTGGAATGCACCTGTCAGCTGTCCTCCATGCACTACTTTGCACTGTAGTCCGTCGTATGAGTTCCGGATAATATTGACAATCTTCTCAGGAACTCCGTAGTGTCGAAGAAGTTTCCATAACGTCCTCCTATCTACACTGTCGAATGCCTTTTCATAATCAATGAAGTTGATGTATAATGATGAGTTCCATTCAACTGATTGTTCGACGATGATCCGTAGTGTTGCAATTTGGTCTGTGCACGACCGATCCTTACGGAATCCAGCTTGTTGATCTCGAAGTTGGGCGTCTACTGCATCCTTCATCCGGTTCAGCAACACTCTGTTGAAGACTTTCCCTGGTATTGACAGTAGTGTTATGCCTCTGTAGTTTTCACATTTGCTCAGATCTCCTTTCTTTGGAATCTTGACGAGGTGTCCTTCTTTCCAGTCCATCGGCACTTGTTCCTCCTCCCAAATCTTTTTGAATAGGAGATAAAGCATGCTTGTGGTTGTTTCGATGTCTGATTTCAGTGCTTCAGCTGGTATGTTGTCGGGTCCTGCTGCTTTCCCGTTCTTGATTTGTCTGACGGCCATTCTAATTTCTTCCGTATTTGGTGGATTGACATCTATAGGAAGATCTATGTGTGCTGCTTCGATGTCCACTGGATTCATTGGAGCCGGCCTATTCAGGAGTTCCTCGAAGTATTCTACCCATCTGTTACGTTGTTGTTGAATTTCGGTGATTGGCTTGCCTTCTTTGTCTTTGACCGGCCTCTCTGGTTTACTGTATTTCCCTGCTAGTTTCTTCGTTGTATCGTGAAGATGTTTCATATTTCCTTCTCTAGCAGCTTTTTCTGCCGTCGTTGCTAGTTCTTCCACGTATTTCTTCTTGTCAGCTCTAATGCTCCTCTTCACTTATTTGTTTGCTTCTATGTATTCAGCTTGTGCTTGGACTTTCTCTGCTCGTGTTCGGCTGCTGTTTATTGCTGCCTTCTTGTTCTTCCTTTCTTTGATCTTGTCCAGTGTTTCTGTAGAGATCCATTCCTTATGATGGTATTTCTTTAGACCGAGAACCTCTTGACACGTTGAAGTTAATGCTTCTTTGATGCTTTTCCAGTTGTCCTCCATAGTAGTTTCTTCTTCTTTCAGTAGATCTTGTAAGGCTTGGAACCTGTTGTTGAGAGCTATCTTGAATTCATTGAGTTTGACAGTATCTCGAAGGAAGGCTGTATTGAACCTTTGTATTGCTGTTTGTCCACTTGTCCAGTTCTTTTCTAGCTTCAGTTTTAAATTGGCTACAACTAGGTGGTGATCTGAAGCTACGTCAGCACCTCTCCTGGTTCTCACATCTTCCATTGTCCTTCGGAATGTTTTGTTAATACAAATATGATCTATTTGGTTCTCTGTAGTGTGGTCCGGTGAGATCCATGTAGCCTTGTGTATACGCTTGTGTGGAAATATTGTGCCTCCTATGACCAATTTGTTGAATGCACATAGATTTGCAAATCTTTCTCCATTTTCGTTTCTTTCTCCCAGTCCATGTCGTCCCATAATATCTTCATATCCAGTGTTGTCTATTCCGACTTTGGCATTTAGATCTCCCATCAGAATAGTTAGGTCCTTTCTTGGGCATTTCTCAATGATTGACTGCAGCCGCTCGTAGAACTGATCTTTAATTTCGTCGTTGCTATCATTGGTGGGTGCATAACATTGGATAATATTCATTAAGACCCCCTCCTTCTTTGTCTTGAATGATGCTTTGATGATTCTGGATCCGTGAGATTCCCATCGTATAAGTGCATTTCGTGCTACTTTGGACAGCATAAGAGCGACTCCCTGAGTGTGTGGAGCATTGTCCTCTTCGTGACCGGAGTATAGCAGCATCTCTCCCGTAGCTAGCTTTTTCTGTCCAGCTTGGGTCCAGTGGGTTTCGCTGATTCCCAGTACTGCTAAGTTGTATCTCCTCATTTCCATTGATATTTGACTGGTCTTCCCGGTTTCCCACATTGTTCGAACGTTCCATGTACCTATAAAATTTTTTGCTCTGGTTGTTAGAAGGGGCATCGGCCTCGTGGCTTCCGAAGGAACTCGGCTTTCACCATGAAGCGTCATAATTCTTCTAAATGAAAACCTTCTAACTCCCAGGGCAGAGTTAAAATGGTTTGGATTATTTTTTCTGGTAAGCGTTTTTTTAGCGAGTTAGTTTTCTACGGGATGGGGACGCTAACCCCATGCCCAACCCTCCTCCTTTACCCGGGCTTGGGACCGGCAGCAACCCTATAAGAGCTACAGGCGGAGTTTTATTTCATATTGCCGTTTAGCAATTTAGACACAACTGATGGAAAATATACTACTTTCAACTTTTAAGATAGAACAAATTAACCATAGTTTTCATATGTATGCCAAGACAGACCATACGGTGTAAGATAAAATTTACGGATTTATAAGTGAAGGGATTCAAGAGAAGTTTATTTAAAACGACTGTTTGCTCAAATATTCTCTACTTTTAAGTATTCTATGGGGACGTTAATTTGCTAACGAACAAAAACTTTGAAATGACAACCGTCCTATGAAAATGAAATGCACAAAAGAACAAATATTTACAGATAGCCGCTAAACTTTTTGGTGGAGTTTTGTTCTCTGAGCTGGATGGTTTGGTCGTGGAGCTCGATCTTGAGGTCTACAGGACAAGCTGTGAGTCATATGTGGAGAAATTCGAACACTTCACACCTACCTGAAGTTTGCGCTGATGTCGTCCAGAAATAACGATGAGAGCTCAACGACCAAACTATCCAGCTCAGAGAACAAAACTCCGTCAAAACCATCCACCTGAGCTAATGATCTTTTCCACCTCAAATTATCGTACATTTGCATAAACCAACTTAATTAGAAAAATAATCCTTTTCGATAATTAATTATTTTACGAGTCAATAGTTGTATTTAAGTTGATTTATATAAATTTAACTGACCTGCATAGAAGCCATTCCAGCCCAAATATCCATGTTCCAATTACCAGGACCTGTAAGAAACGAAAGCCCTGGATGAGTACTCGGGGACGAAGATGTTATATTACCAGTAGCAACCAAGTGAGTATGATAGTTGGTGAGTGCAAATGAAAGAATAGGCTAACAAAAAAGAACATTATAAAGGAAATACAGTTAGGAATAACAATCTTCAAGTTATAATGAGTAGATTATGACATATCTATCATAAAAGTTTGATATTTTATCTTATTACCATAGGAAGGAGGAGAATACATCACTTCATGGTTTGATTCTCTTATCAGTGTGCTGCACACTTGTTTTTTGGTACCCACATGTGCCATTAATTATGCGTTGAATAAATCAGATAAATAAACTAATCACTCCCAGCTTTACAGTAGCAAATGCATTAATTACTGAAAATATATGGGGTCCAAGAGGAAATATGAGTAGCGCAATTTAGTACAAAAACCCCCAAATGCCCTGGTACGGCCGAGAGTGGGGAGAGTCCGCTCTCCCTCTCGAAATGCTCTCACACGGCCACGCGTATATAGCCTCTGCCAGGGAAGTCCTACTCACTGCCTTCTCGTGGCGGGGATGTTGTTTACGAAAATGAGAGGACGAAAAGCGAATGTCCGGCGCTTTAACCGGATTCAAAACCAATGGTGCACATGGGCTCCAGTATCCTGCGGGAACAAATGGCGTATGAACCAACTGTTGGTCACCGGCTTCCATGGGACTGCGTCTCCTTACGATGCTCCACTGCCTTGTGGATCAGACCTTCAGGTCGAAGGCTCGGGGTGTGGCCCCCTAAGAAAACCACCTGCTTCGGTTTGGGCACCCGGGCAGTATCACAGCCCTCACACATATCGAATGAGATTTGTGTGGCGCATATGTATTTGGTGCCTCTTTGTACCATTATGTATGTGTTGAAATAAATAAATAAATAAATACAAAAACCCTGCATTAACAAATATTTGAACCACCGAGATATTTAGTTTGACAGAAAACGACCACTACTTTCGTACTAGCGTCATATTTTGATTAGTTAGTCACTAAACAGCAATTTAAAAATGCAATAAAAAATAGCGACTAAATTAAACACCAAGATTTATACATATAACGAAAACAAATACAGATCACAGCCTATACATTCAACTTAAACAGAAAAGTTACTTGGGCATCCAGAAGAATTACACGATCTTGTGTAATATATAAGTTAATACCAGCAGTACACGGGCTGTTAGTTACTACATCCTTGAGAGTTTGAATATTAAAAGGACCATCAAAAACTCCACAACCGTCAGAAATGCAATTCGCCAAAATATTTAACACAGACGATTTACCTGAACCCTAAATTCACGAGAGAAAATCAAAATATCTCTGGTTACCTGTAAACCAATGGCGCCAACAACAAGAAATCCTGAATTGTCAACAAAAAGGTCTTGAACTGTTGCAAGATTAACGAACCTTAGTTGTTCATCGATGAGTTTGATGGGTACTTGCATGGGATCATCACAGAGGGTGTACAGTTCATCGGGTTTACTTTCTCCATCGATTAGCTTTTCTTCATCCAATGGAGTAGAGAAGAATTCGATTACACTTTTTATTCTTTCTTTCTAATAATGAAGGATATGTGAGCTAACACAACGTACCTCCATTCCAACGACGAAATAAGGGACTGATTAATGCACCTAGTAACGTTTTGCTGAAATTTCAGATAGTAGTTATTAAGGATCTAGCGATATCACTGAATGTCCCAGATATTAGATTAGGCTTTTCTAAACAATTTAAGAGACTATATAAATACGGTTAGAGACAAACGATAGTTTCGACAGGATAGCTTCACTGTTGTGAGTTCGACAATGACTAAGAAAACTAAATTGAAGATTTCATCATATAACTCAACGACTAGGTGCGAGTTTCTGTACTTAGCTTGAGTGACAATAGGAGGTAACGACACTAACCAGTTTCTAAATTCAAAGTGCATCAAGGTCCGAAGACAATGCCCGATAACTGATGTACAGACAAACAATCCACACAATCAGCCGAGTCTCTTAGGTTAGAACGGGATTTTAAAAAAGTAAACCACTGGCCCAGAATATATTAAGAGGGATGACCATATAGTCTGAAATGAGTAATGGGACGAAAAAAGTCCCAGTATTACGTAAGGTGAAAAAAAGTTCAGCGTAACCAGTTCCGAACCTTGACCAATCATATTGATATTGTATTTCCTAGGGTTAATTCAATCACAGAAAAGTATACTTAACTAGGAGCTCCTAGCCAGTTAATAAAAGTTGATGGCCTTCTACCTTCAGTTATCTGTAGGTAGGATAATTAGCGATTGAAAATGAAAAACCCACGTCTACTAAGGTCATGTATCACTCACTCTGAGCCCTTGAGCACTTTAACGTGAAACCACCTACATCTGAATAAGGATAAGGACTAACATATCTCGTTGATTCGTGCAGTGTGAAGGGAATATGAATGCCCAATTATAATTGGGCGTTCATGAAAAAAACATTCCGAACCTGACACATACATAAAAAACACAAACGACACTAAGATCGTTAAAAATAGAAGGCATGGTATTGACGACATAAATTATATGGTCTAAGACCTCTGATTTTCAAGTAGGAATGACTGCCATATGCGTATGACTTTGACAAGGCAAATTTATTAACCAGGGTTTCGGAACTTCATAGTTGTTGGAATTTGAAACATTTATTATGAACGATCAAATATCTGATCGTCTGTGACCGTCACTTTCTTGTACTTTGGAGATCCTAAACAAAAACTGAAATTCTGTGAGTTAATTTTGTTTGGTTAACCTAAAGGTCACTCATTAATTAGGTTATGATTTGAATCACAGAAAAACTTCGCGATCGCTTAGGGCTGTAGTAACTCATGATTCAAAACAGTGTAGAGAGTGTAATACAAGTGACGTTCAAAATAAATAAAGACAAAGACAGAATAGCACTCGCAACATTTGAAATACTTACAGAATACGACTTGTGAGGCGAACACCGACTGCATTGTAACGCAGTATACGAAAAAGCGCGTTTAGAACCTCAATACACTCTCTGGTGAGAAAAAAATAATCTAGCCTCCAGCGTGCTAGATGTTGTTTTACGAGCATTTAATCGATGAGATTGTAAATAGATAGTTTCATAAAGAGCAGATAAGCAAAAAATCTGTCCAGCATGAATGACAAACGTGACCAAGAAACTTTAAACTTAGGGACAGATACTATGGTTAGTTCGTCTCTACAAGCTCTGAAATATCCGAGCACACTAGCTGTAAGGTTAGGAAGGCGAACAAAGCGTTGACAGATGGAGATAGGTCAACTTACGGTATTCTCAGAGAAATCTAAAGAAGTTGTACTCTGATGTACGTAGAAGAATATTGGTAATGGAATAACATATTTTCTGTTTTAGGGAAATCCACTGTGATTGACAGATAATGGTCTCGATAAAACCGAAGCTTCATCAAGGCTCTTTTTACTGATAAAGATGAAAAGATGTAGACACATTCCAAAAAAGGCACGTTGTGGCGAATGAAGCCGAAGAAGTTAAATAGTTCTGTAAGTTTTCGACATTTGATGCTAACCTCACTAGTTTAATAGATACATGCAGCTGAAGATGCCTGGTCACCAGATCACGGAGTTTGGAAGACAATCGACTCCTAGAGAGCTATGTGACCTAAGCTGACTGGTTGTTGAGAAAGATGCGTACATCGTCAGGCGAATGTTTGGCCAAGAAATTTCAGCTAGAGCATGTCCCGTAAAACTAGTGAGATTGATTCCAGTAAGCGAGAACTACAGAACTAGTGATATTTGGGATCTATTTGCTCTTACAAAATGCTATTCTCACTCATATGAATGGGAAAATATACCTTAAGAAGACTTTCATGCTTGAACAATCTCTTCATTGAATGAGGCTCAGTCACTTCAAAATACATGAATATCCTAGTAAACGTAATCTTGGTAGATCTAAATAGAAGCTTCGACAAAGTCTATTTCTCAGGTCTCGGATTGAAATCGGAATGTTGTCGAATCAGTTAAGTAGTTGGTGATTGAACATTTGACTTTCTCACTTATAGGTTACAGAAAGGGATAGAACAGTGCCTAATCGACACGAAAATGTGGGAAAATGAACTTATTGAAGAAAAATCCTAGAAATCTTCCCATTTTACTTTACGTACATAAAATATTGTAGCGGTAAATAAATCCCCAAAATAAATAGCTCTGTAAGTTTTCGACATTGGATGCTGACCATATGTTTTAGTGGACTCATCTAGCTGAAGGCGCTCGGTCATGCATCCGCACCAGATCACGTGTGGTAACGCCGTGCTCAACATCAACCGCAATCGCTAGCCAGATTAGATCAGAGAATTCCGATATATTGGTCATCGCCAAATATACTCTTCCGATCTCCTCGACTCTGTCTTTTGATTTCTCTGGGTGGGAACGAAATACATTAGAAGGTGTTACTGGTAGAAGCGTTGTCAAACACTGAATACCTGTGACATCATCATTGGTGAAACCGACGTGATCTGGTACACCTAATTGCAACTGTGAGTCTGTTCCTTTTTGGGATTTTTATATATCATTGCCTTATTTTTTTATTTTTTTTTTAAACATTGTGATTTTTTTTCGTATTTTTTCTTGGATATATATATTTTCCCCTCGTTCATTATCATACTTCATCATGACTGAACAGACACCTAAAGTACTCAAGCTTAAGACTTTGTCCCCACCTTCGTTTCAACTGATGCCTTTCTGGCTCGACAACATCGAAGCCTGGTTCCGCTACGCAGAAGCCGACTTCCACGAGCACGGCGTGATCGACACACGTGCACAATTCCTCGCAGTAGTCAAGGCACTACCGCGCGAATTCAACAGGTACGTAACACCTAGTATGTTTACTAGTGATGTTTCCGATCCTTACGAAATCTTAAACGAGGAGACCTAACCGATCGACAAAGGTTAGATCAACTCTTCAATAACATCGACCTGGAACACGGTTCTGCGACGGACATGTTGCAACGGATGAGAGAGGTAATAGGCCCAAGAACTTTCGACGAAGGTCTATTCAAACAACTCTTCTTATCAAAACTTCCCCAACAGGTGCAAGCAGTTCTGGTCTCGTTTCAGAACAACGCCTTAGACGAACTAGCTGCATCTGCCGACCGCATTTTAGAAATTACGAAACCGTCTACTACCGAGGTATTTTCAGTCAAAGAAAAACCTCAAACGACTCAGAATGATATAACCGACTTATGTCACACACTCACGCGTTATCTTAGTCTTCGTACCGACCGTAAGAGATCGCGCACCCCACGTAGAAGCATTTCTCGTAAGCGATCTGTCTCTAGACCACGAGAGACAAAACCCCGACTGGTGCTGGTATCATAACCAGTATGGAAAGGTTTCCAGAAATTGCAGAAAATCCTGCAATTTTCCCAACACAAAACCGACTGATTCGAAAAGCAATTCGGGAAACTTCCAAGTCGGCACGCGTTAACGGCAACCGTAGCCGGCGAACAAAGCCGTCTGTTATTCGTCACAGATGTGACAACGAGAGTTCGCTACCTCGTCGACACTGGCGCAGAAGTTAGCGTTCTTCCAGCAAATCCTAACGACCGACTCCACGAATCGACCCTAAACTTACAGGCGGCAAACGGAAATCCGATTGCTACGTATGGCAGAAGGTACGTTTACCTTAACGTGGGTTTACGCAAACCCATTCACTGGATTTTCGTTGTTGCAGATGTTTCTATGCCAATCATTGGTATGGACCTTCTACAACACCACAATCTGATCATCGACACTCGCAAACGGAGGCTAGTAGACGGAAACACTAATTTGTCCGTTTGCGTAACTTCTTTTACTGGTTGTAGAGTATCTCCAGTCACAGTTAAACATATGATAGACCCACTCTATCAACCACTACTCGATAAGTACCCTGGGATACAACAAACTCAACCGCAACTACCGTGTGTAACCAGCAATGTTACACATCACATCACGACTACAGGACCACCTGTATTCTCTAAAGCATGACGACTAGCTCCTGAAAAGCTAAGGTTAGCGAAAAACGAATTCGATCACATGATGGACTTAGGAATCATACGACCGTCAAGTAGCCCATATGCATCTCCGTTGCACATGGTCCCTAAAAAGGACACCAACGATTGGCGTCCAACTGGTGACTATCGGCGATTGAACGCGAAAACCATTCCCGATCGTTTCCCGTTGCCTCACATTCACGATTTGACAGCTACCTTGGAAGGTACAACTGTCTTTTCGAAAATCGACTTGGTTAAAGCGTATAACCAAATCCCTATGGCTACTGACGACATTCCGAAAACAGCTATCATAACTCCTTTCGGACTCTATGAATTTTTGCGAATGCCTTTCGGTCTAAGGAATGCTACTCAAACATTCCAAAGATTCATAGACGACGTTTTTCGAGGTCTCAACTTCGTACACGCGTATGTTGATGACTGTCTAATCGCAAGTCCGGACAGAGAAACACATCTCAAGCATCTGGATCTTGTTTTCGAACGGCTACAAAAACATGGCATTACTGTAAACGTTCAGAAATGCCTAATTGGAACCGACTCATTAGACTTTCTGGGACACACTATCGATGCTCAAGGTATCCGACTCCTTAGAACCAAAGTGGCGGCCATTCTGGATTACCCAGAACCGACTACCGTCAAGCAATTACGCACGTTTAACGGTCTCGTAACTTTCTATAGACGTTTCATACCCAAATGTGCATTACTTATGAAACCTCTGACCGACCAACTTCGTGGAAATGCGAAATCCATTAATTTGGACGACACCGCACGAAAAGCATTCTCCACAGTTAAGGAACTGATTGCTAAAGCAACAATGCTCGCACATCAGGACACCCGAGCACCCATTGGCATCGCAGTAGACGCATCCGACTCGGCAATCGGGGGAGTCTTACAACAATGGGTTAACAACTCCTGGCAACCCTTGGCATTTTTCTCTAGAAGGTTGCTAGACACCGAATCGAGGTACAGCACATTCGGTAGGGAACTCTTAGCTATGTATTGTGCTGTACGGCATTTCCAACACTATATCGAAGGCCGTGAATTCACTCTTTTCACGGACCCTAAACCGCTCACTTTCTCGTTAAGCTCTCCTTCTGACAAGTACTCTCCCCGTGAGTCTCGACAACTAGACTACATTTCGCAGTTTGCTTCAGATATTCAACATATTTCTGGAGCAAACAATGTAGTTGCAGACGCCTTATCTCGCATAACTTCCTTGAACAGTTTCCAAGGAATCGACCTTCTTAAACTCGCCGAGCTTCAAAAAGAAGACAGTGATCTTCAGCACGAGTTATCGTCCACAACACTTAAACTACGCATC